TGGTCTTCTTCTGCTCCTCTCGCTATCTAATGAAGTGTTCACACAAGACCCAGATTACCGGACGCTACCCAGTGTCCGCTCTATCACTCTTAAGATGTGCAATTATGTTGCATATAATGAATACCCTGTAAGGAAAGCAATACCTCTAATTTTTCTTCGGTGAGCAGTTCACAATACAAGTCGGATCAGTTAGATATTTGCTTCCTTGATGAATTTTCAGAGCTATCGCATTAGTGAACTTTGCAAATCTCACAAGTAACTACAAACGTCTTCTCTCACTTCTGATTCTGTCAACTTCCTTTTTAGGCCATCGATGAGCAACGCTAAATGTTTGCAGAAATATGCTTTCATGTCAAAATGTCATGTAGGGCGTTGTTATCAGAAGTAGTTTTATTCATTCGCCAAGTATGTACAGGGCTTTACAACCTGAGTGTCCCACCCGCCCCGCTAGGACGCCACGCTTAGGTCCGCGCAGCGTTCGTGGCGCTGGCCGCGCGTCGACTGAAGTTTGGCGAAATCCGGGCGATACGCAGCAAACGCCGCGCGCGGCCTGAGCGAGGCGGCCGCGTTGGAGGAGCCGCGCAAGCGAAACTTGCGACTCTCAGATTGAAAAGCCCTGTATATACAATTTCGAGTTGAATAAAAAACGAGTACAACGTCTGACTGATGCCAACTATGTTATATGACGTCAATATCTTCCCCGAACGGCCCGTATTCACAAGGATCATGCCTTAAGATTTTGATGTGCCAAGTAGTAATTTACCTCGGTCATACATCTGTACACGGTAGTGGCGTACCCAGGATTTCGGCTCGGGGGGGGGGGGGCGCGGCAAAAAAAATTTTCAAATGGAGGTGCGTGGCGTTAGCCACGCACTCCGAAAAAATTTTAGGGGGGCTTCTCAACAATTTTGCGGGCCCCAAACCGACAAAATCTGGAAAAAGGGGGCGTGGCTGACGCCACGCCCCCCAAAAAAATTTTTTTATAAGGCTAATTTGAATTTTTAAAAAATTTTAAAAATTATTTTAATTGTTTACAAAAATAAACAAGTCATTTGCACATTTTTATAACGCATGTAAGTAATTTTCAAAAATTTCGCGACCCGTTCTCGGGGGGGGGGCGCGCGCCCCCCCCCCCCCGCCCCCCCCTCGGTACGCCACTGGTACACGGGTGCGGGTAGCGGCGCTATACGGCTATCCGGGCCCCAGGTTTTTTCTTGTTATGATTTCGCTAAGACGGCTCACGGGCTTATCTGACATGTTGATCTGTCAAGTCTAACGAGTTAATTACTCTCGTAACTTGATCCCTCTACCCTTAGTTTCTTCCCTTTGTACTAACATAACAATTCTGACTAGATTCTTTTATCATTATAACATAAATATAAATGTGGGGGAACATAATTAGGGAGGGGACCACCGAGCACCCGGGGAGTGCCAGCTCATCTGAAGTTGGTGGCACCGCCCAAGTCGGCGAGGGGACTGTCGGACTCTAATTAGTCTGCGTCTCGACATGTCCGTTCCATGGCAAAGCTCGTCCTCGAGCTTTTGAAGTTGGCCATGGTTATTTTGGAGTTGTCATCAGTGGAATCGCTTGGAAGTTGCCCATATGCATGGTTGCGATGTCATCATTGAGTTGGACGTTGCCCATATGTACAGTTGACGTTGCCCATACGTGTAGTTGATGTTGCCCATTTACCATTTGCTGCTTTGGTTGAGGGCAGACTTGCTTCAGGCGTTAGTTGCTGGATTTTTCTTCACAAGGACAGGGGGAAAGGGATGAGAAGGCACGCTTTCGCACGCCCCGTCAGAAGAATGAGCTCGTCTCGAGCTGAAGAATGGAAGCAACGGACGAATGATGAGATGATTCAAATGATGAGCAAATCGGGGTACGGATGAGGCTTCCGTAATCCTTTGGGGAGGCGGATAGGGATTTCCGCATGGTGGTAAAATATGACATAGGGTATAGGAAAAAAAGACCGCGCTGGTGACGAAATATGACATACGGGGATATGATGACATCAGTAAAGAAATGATGAGCAGTGTTGTACAAAATGGGATTACGAGCATGGAATAACGCATGGAATAATACATAAATGGACAGCAAACAGCAAAATGAACTATGTTCGAAGACGACGAAGGAACGGAATGTATATTCCGAACATTTGCCGTTACAGAGCAGTTAAGCTATGATATGGACATGTAATTTCACAGGATATTGACTTTTTTTTTAACCTGCAAGCAACTCAGGAGGGAACACTTCCCTAACGTTGATTACAAGGGCGTGGGTGAAAAGTGATTGACTGAAAGCCTTCTCCGAGCCTCCAATCAGAGAATTCTCCCTTTTCATAGTGCGGTTGCTTGCGGGCAAACTTACACTGTGCCAATAGCTGCTGCGTAAATAAAAGATTAAACTTTGTTATTGCTATTGATACTTCCTTTTCTCTAACGAGAATCATTCCATTCTTTCTCTCAAACGCTCTGAACGTCTAGGATAAGGCTGGAACCTTTTCTGAAAATTTGTTTTGGAAACATGAACATGAATGATTTTTTTTCTGTTTTTGGTTAGTAGTACATTGATAAATACAAAATTGCACGAAATTGTAAATACAGAATAACAATAGAACACTGAAAGCCAATAAATGAATACCTCTGTGACGAAGTTGGATAAAGATGATCAGTAAATATCCAACTCGTTTCAGTAGTCGAGAATCATCTGGTCTTACAAATAAGTAATTAGGCGAAACTGACCTAAGCGCAGACTAGGCAGTACTGTGTTACTGCTTGAAACGAATTCCGCCAAGCTTAGGATAGCTATTGGCGCTTATATGCCACTCAAGATTAGATAATGACGCTCTGAATCGGCGTGACTGGGAAAAGGGCCTCTGGTAACCCCATGGGCTATCACATAGCCTATGGAATCACCATAGGCAAAATAGCCTACGGACTATCCACAGGCGTCTAGATCGCCTGTGGAACTGGCGGCAATTAGAAACGGCTATGGTAATTAAACACAATTACAAAAATTTTGTACATATGTACAGTGCTAGCGTTGGCGATAGAGTCCCTGAGTTTGTGTAAAAAATAACGATGGAAAGTGAGAAAGAAGAAAATAAATGACTGAAAATAATGTGTAAAGTTGTAGGCGAAATATGGTGAAAAATGGTTGCGAAAGTGAATTTTACATGTTTTTGGAAAGATAATAGATTATGAAAGAGAAAATGTGGAAGTTACAAAGTAAAATATGTTTTGAAAAAAAAAAAGAAAAGTTTTAGATTTGTTTCTAAATAAATAGGGTGGGGAAAGGGGGCTAGAGGAAGAAAGAGTAAATATTTACGGTTCTTCACGTGGTATCACGGTAAAAACTGTAAGGAATCACAGCAGACAAAAAATATCATATACCATATTCAATATAGTAATATATTCGTTATCTGCTATGAAACAAAAAAAGACTGTCAAACACACAGTAGGTAAAGAATACATGATTATATTCATTACCCACTATGACACAAAAAATATGACAAAATAAGAAAAAACACACTCAGACCCATCGCCTAGACTCAAGGGAAAAGATAAAAGAGAGGATAAATATAAAAAAGGGCTACGTAATTCACGTAGGAGATGAGGGCTGGTGCCGGTGGTGAGAGTATTCAGCAGAGATTGGCCTAATCTATGCTTAGATTTTTTCTTTCTAGTGAAAAAAGTTATGCGACAAAAGTTCAGAAAAACCCGGGACCTCCATGTCAAGTTTAACGAGTTAATTACTCTCGTAACTTGATCCCTCTACCCTTAGTTTCTTCCCTTTGTACTAACATAACAATTCTGACTAGATTCTTTTATCATTATAACATAAATATAAATGTGGGGGAACATAATTAGGGAGGGGACCACCGAGCACCCGGGGAGTGCCAGCTCATCTGAAGTTGGTGGCACCGCCCAAGTCGGCGAGGGGACTGTCGGACTCTAATTAGTCTGCGTCTCGACAGATCACACGAATACCAAGTTTTTCCGCGCGAGGACGCGTCCGTGTACGGCTACGGTGGGTGTACGGTAAGGGGCCCAAAATCACGGATTTCGCGAACTTGGCCTAGGGCGGTTATTCGACCCGCTAATACCGAATATCATGATAATTTCATAAGGTAGCGTCATTTTTTGGGGCTACGGTGAGCATACAGTAGGGAGTCAAAATCATGGAGTTCGCTGAAACTTGGCTTAAGGGGTCTATTCGACACGCTAATTACGAAAATCATACTCTTTTCGCATGATAAGGCCTTTTTATGAAATTACTAAATTATTTTAAATTACTGTAGTTTGACGGTAAGGGTCAAGAATTATAAATTTACCTGCAACTTTGCGTTTGGTGTTGGGTGTAAACAGACTCGCCCTACCGTCATGCCTTTCATACAGGACCATCGTCACGCGCGACGCACTCTGCGACGGCTTTGCCCAAGCAAACACAGGGGAAGAAGATTTGCCGCGTACTATACGCCCTACCGTATACCTACCATAAACACACAGGAAAACGTCTTCGTCAGGTGAAACGAGATATCCGTGATCAGCATGTCGAATTACCCTCCTGTGCCAAGTTCCAGGCAAATCCACGATACTGACTCTCTACCGTATACCCACTGTGACCCCAGAAAATGAGGCTACCGTGCAAAACCAGTACGATATCTGTGATCAGTTGGCCGAACAAGCCCCCTGAGCAAAGCTTTAGCGAAATCCATGACGAAAAATTTCTGGGGCCCGGATAGCGAATAGCGCCCGGGTAGCTACCCTTCCATTCAACTGAGGGTTAAACCTAACATATTGAAACCCTGTTGTCGACGAAAGTCTGAAGGAGAAATTCCGATCTTTTGATTGTTAGACGTCAAGTCATGCAATTAAGTGTGATTACAGAAACGCATTTTTGACGCCTAAATTAGATTCGTTTCGCAAAATCATGAACAGCGACTTTCTGCACAGTCGGTTCCGCTCTGTTTTGATGACAGTACTTTTTGATTTTTATTTTCAGAATATCTTTGCAGGGACGGAGGTGCTTCTGGAGCTTATCTGCCACCGGCGTCTGAATAAGCCCTCATTTCCAATATGGTGGTAAGAATTAGTGCTTGTAAAAAATATCATTGCAAAAGCAACTTTTATAGCTGCCGCTGTCTTTGCTGAGGACTGCACAAAATCATCCGATGCTAATTGAACTGAAAAATGGTGAGACATACAACGGACATCTCCAATCATGCGATTCATGGATGAACATTCATCTGAGAGACGTTATTTTCACTTCCAAGGTTCGTTTGTCGTTCTGTCTGGATTTTTCATACATCATCGTTTGTCAGTATTCATTTGTATATGATTTGCAGTTGTGGCAAATCTTTGCAAACAACATAAACCTTCAAAAACCTCATGACTAAGGCCCGTATGCACGTACGTCCCCGCTGGGGAGGGGAGGGGATCTGAGAGGGGATGCGCCATATCTCGCTGCTCTAGGTATCTTTCTTCTTCCTTTTCTATCTTGCTTATGAAGGTTCTCATACTCTAATACCTGCGCATAAATGATGGCAGATTCCTGGCGTAATTAATTAGATTTCCACTATTTTGTGTGATCCCTTGGGGATTTCCAGGGGATCACGCTGTAAAATTGTTATGTGGATATACTACGGCCCTGATAAAGATGTTTATAGTAGAAATAAGTGAAATCTCAAGATATCGAAATCTTCGGTAATTCTTAGCTCGCGAGCCAAGGATCATCGAAAATTCACTATCTTCAGATTCCTTTTCTCCCGTCGAAAACATGCTTAGCACTGCCGTAGTATATCCTCAGTACAATTTTGCAGCGTTTTCATTGAATTCTCAGGAATATAAATCGATTATGAAAATGATGGGTGATCCCCCAGGGATCCCCTGGAGATCACACAAAATGGCAAAAAGCCGATGTTGTATGGCAGTAACCTGGCATCCATTATGCGCAGGTACAAGTGTATGAAAAACTTCATAAGCAAGATAAAGAAGAAGAAAGATAGGTGGAGTAGCGAGATATGATGCATCCCCTCTCAGATCCCTCCCCTCCCCAGTGGGGATGTACGTGCATACGGGCCTAAGGGTCGTTTCATACTGCAGTCGCTGCAGCACCGACCGTCGATGGATCAATATCTTTTGCCCGCCCCATTGTGACTGCAGTTGCTGCAGCGACTGCAGTATGAAACAACCCTAAGTGGGCATCCTTTCCTTTTATTTAGAAGGATTTCCAAAATATGATATTTGCACATCGTAGAAGGAGCGCCGTACTTTTTTGTTTTTGGCGGTGAGGGCCCATTTTTAGCAGTTCTCTTCACATTTTTCCCCACAAACGTTACCCGTTGCTTGCAGATACTACTTTGCACAATGTGTGATTTCCACCACGTCTTTGGCACGTGCCACACTTGATGCGCTTCTACTTCATCCATTTCGCTAATGGTCAAGTCAGTGAACTGACCGATAGCGAAGTGGATGAAATGGTTCAAGTGATCAAATGGACATCCGCTTCGCTAATGGTCCACCTGATTTGACCATTGGTGAAGTGGATCAAGTGGATTAAACGGATCAAGTATAGCGCGTGCCTTTGTTAGGCACAAATGGTTTCATAATTCCAAGTTTTTTAGGATGGTGACAAGTTCTTCAAAATGCCTGAAGTATACATTCGCGGATCAACGGTGAAGTATCTTCGAATACCCGAAACTGTAAGTGAAACTCGTAGGGTTAGACTTTCATGCGGCTTCGCATGCAATACGTCCTGCTTCAGGTGGTTGATCTTGTGAAAAATGAAGTAAGCGAAGTTCGTCGACAGCAAAAAGATCTCCAAAGAGCTCGCAAACAGCTTGGACAGCGTGGCGGTGGAGCTGCTCGTGGAGGTCGAGGAGGACATCGCGGTGGTAGAGGAAAGTGATTTGGTTGTTTTCCTCTTATCGTAACTGATTTGAAATTTACATTTGTACAGAATTGTATGATTCGGATTTTTGTTAGAAATTAAGCGGAGTTTTTGTGGATTTCATGCATATGGTGTGTTTTCTTTTTTTTTCACTCTTTGGTTCACACAGATTGATTTTGAGTTGCTACTGTCGTACTAGTTTTGTTTTGCCTCCTCATATAATAAAGCGTATCCAGACGTAATACTCGAACATGCTTTCCTTGATGGAATTCCCCTCCAGCATTTTGTCTAAATAGAGCATCGCTTTTTCTACATCACTATGAAAGCAAGTGTAAAGGCTAGTTCAAGACAAAGGCGGTTGCTGCAAAAATCTTTCGAACAAGAAACCAGATTTTTTTTGGCAGCACTGCACATCCCGTGGCCATAGTTGGCACGGTTCGTAGGTTTATTGAACTGTACCAAGAGTTGACCGATACACAGTGAGACTCTTGTACTTCAGCGATACTTAAAAGGGGTTTTATGTTTGGGTTCCTTTGAATAGATATAGTGTACTTTGAAAGCATTTTGAGCAAAGTTTGAGGGGACTTATGGTTAATTATTTCCCTTGATCTGACTCTGTGAGCACTTCACTGCTTTATCTTTAAGAGAGTGGCTATAGCTTGTTTACATTCTACCTCCAAGAAGCAGTGGGGGAGGGAGCTGACTGGATGGTTTGGCAAGCGCTGAAGTGACTTATTCAGAAGATAGATCAAGGGAAGGTGGTACCAACAGACGCAGTGAGAGGAGAAATGCAAGTCGTCTAGTCTAGCTAACATTTGTAACAGAGTCATAAAAAGGCTTCGATTTTTTGCGCCGTAAAATAAGTTTTCTGCGCGATCACACATTGGGAGTCGTTTAATCTCAATGCGCAACCATGTGTCGCCTTATCAGTAGGTGGTCGCGTGTAAGGCCTTGTATCGATTCCAGCGTAAGGTCATTTACAAGTAATGAAATGTTGTAGCATGGTGTGGCTTTTTACTGTATCCGATCGACTGTAGACTGTCATTTATTCTCCGTTCTAAGCCTATGCAAAAGGAAAGCAAACTTTGGTTTTTGGGACTCGAATTGTTAGCTGAGTTGCTTCCGAGAAACTCTAGTTGTCATGAAATTAGTGAAATGTATTCTCGAGAAGAAGAATTACTGTCTCTTGAGTAAGGATCCACCATTGATTTCGAAAATTCACACGGTTTCGCCTGCAACTTATTTTGAAAATCATTCTGACTTCCACTACCATACAAACCATTCAAATACAGGGCCTCTATCTGGTCATTGTGGGTATACGATGGAACTGCTATTTTGAACCACGCTCTTTCGTCAATGAATTTCAGCGACTTGTCATTCTTTGTATCCTCTCGTCTGTATCACTTTACTATGCAATCCCTAGTCCATGAATACTGGAGGACCCAGCGGTTCAAACAATCCAAGATCTCCACCTCCTCTACCTCCGCGACCTGCAGACCCGAATGTGGTGCCGAATGTAATGTCGGGTTATGGAATGTATGGCGGTGGAATGGGATACGGTGGAGCTGGCTATGGGCTTGGACCTCACTATGGGATGTGAGTTGCCATTTGTTTTGTTTCAGCGGATAACATCTGTTCATCTCACTTTGTTGTTACCGTAGTGAAATTTAGTTGAATTTTATCTGTTTATCGTTATCAATCCAGCTTTGCAATATAATGGTCCTTCATGTTCCCCTACAACATTAGCATCTAGGTACGGTGGAATGTACGGGAATGGGATGTATAGCGGACAGTATGGCCCAATGGGTGGAGACAACAGCTTTGCTAGATTAGCTGAAGGTTCTTTACTCCACTGTTTTTCAAAAATTTATGATTAGTGCTAACTATTGCCTAATTTGAGAATCTTCGAGGGGAGCCTTTCAGTCTATAGAATCTGTTGTGAATGCGGTGACATCCGTGGCCAATATGCTCAGCTCTACCCACAATGCTGTTTACAGTTCTTTTAGAGCTGTGATCGGAGTCGTAGACCAGTTGTCCAGATTAAAGCTACAGGTGCGTGTTTTTTCTACTTTTAAGCTCTATGTTTTATCACTTCTCTTTAGCTGACGTCGGTTATTTTATCGCTATCGTTGTTCAAATTCATACAAAAGCTTTGGCGGTACTTACTGGTACTGCTTCGCTTGAAACCAGCGAATTACGCTAGCGCAGCCGAACTTGCTTGGGGAGATGCCAAACAGCCTTTTGGTAAATCTATCTTAGCTAGTTTGTCAATGCTCGATCTCTACTTACTAATGCAGGTTCGGATGTGCTTGCTGGACCCGGTCCTCCTGCAATTAATTGGCCGTCTGTTATGTTTTGGATGGTGGCACTTGGAGGACCATGGCTGATCTACAAGGCCATCTCACAAATGGTCAGAACTGTTGAAGAGAGGAGAAAGTGGGCAACCGGAACTGGAGCTCACTACACAGCACAGGTATCTGGATATTCACTCATTTTCGTTGATCTTCTCTTCTTCTCCGTCCGGTTCTTATGCCATATTTGAAAAAAATTTTTTCTTTCCTGATCAACGTTTGCTTGAGACTTGCGCTTTGAACATTATGTTCGCGCAAAACAACTAAATGTGTGATATATGTCAGTTATTCTGGTGAAAAGGTTGTGCGCAAAGAGGCGAAAATTTGGTCTGGTAATTTCTAGATTTGTTTTTCGAGGGCTTTTTGCTTGAATAGGGCGCGCATTTATAAAGATGACAGGTGAGAGCGGATGCCTCTGTAAGCTGCTGATGACGAAGGCGAAAAACCTTAGGGCGGGAACGCGGTTTTGTTAGCCGCAGAGCGCATGAAAGCACGATTTACAACGGTGAGGATATGCGGGCGTCGCGTTTGCGCCCGCTCAACTGATACCGCTTCTGCGCCTTCGTCATGCAATAGCCTTCATAAAATGAGTACTCGACTCACTTTACTACAAGATAATATCACGACAAACTAGATCATTTCTTTTTCGAATCATGTATAAATCGTTTCTCTAGGCTCTGTATGATTTCCAAGCGGCTAACGACCAAGAGTTGTCGTTCATGAATGGAGAATTCCTTCGAGTTGCGCCTAAAGAAGAGCAGCCTCGAGTGAGGGGATGGCTTTTGGCCAGGTGATTTGTTATTTTATGCAAGGGTTTTAAAACCTGAGTAGCCTCTGTATTATGAATAATTATATGGTTAAACTTGGTAAATTGTTATCTCACACAAGGGGTTTCAAGACCTGAGTAGTTTCTGATTGAAGCTGAGTAAAGTTAATGTATCATGAGTAAAGTTTTGGGGAGTTGAGCTACAGTCGAGTAGATTTCCTGCTTAATATAGTGTCCCTGCAGACGCGACAACGCTGGGGCGTCAATAAATGCCTTGCGAGTTCCTGAGCTAGTGTTTTCCAGTGTTTTCTTTGCTTATTCTATGCTTTTTAGGTGATTCGTTGCTGATAAAAAAGAAAAGGGTAAGTTAAAGAGTAGTTCCTGTTTTCTGAGAAGTTTTATCATCGCATAATCACAGATATCCATGTGGAAGCAGTTCGCGTCAGCTTCTTGTCTATTTTTTTGTCACTTCATGTCTCTTTCTTCTTGGGAGGTACTTCTTTGAACGCTAGTGGGTTTTTACGATTGACTTATTGTCCTTATCACAAGAAGTACTTGATTAAAATGCTATTTTTTGTGGATGAAAGCCGAAGTTGCTGCAAGAAAGCCAACTAGCGTTCATAGAAACGCCTCACAAGAAGGAGGAGGTTTGAAAGAAGAAGCGACAGAAGAAAAGGAAATGACAAAAGGAAATAGACAAGAAGCTGACGCGAAATGCTTCCACGTGGATATCTGTGAATATGCGATGATAGAATTTTTCAGAAAACAGAAACTACTCTTTAACTTACCCTTTTCTTCTTTATCAGCAACGAATCAACTAAAAAGCATGAATTAAACAAAGAAAACACTTGAAAACACTAGCTCAGGAACTCGCAAGGCATTTATTGACGCCCCAGCGTTGTCGCGTCTGCAATGACACTATATTAAGCAGGAAATCTACTCGACTGTATATACCTTGGTTTCAGCTCTCAGGAAGGTGATCGTGTTGGTCTTGTACCAATCAATTATGTGAGGATAGTTGGCCGGAAATCAGAGTCTCCTCCTCTCCGGGAGCCGATCAATAATTTTGCAAATTATGAGAAAACATTCGAAAGAATAGAATAAAGCCATTTTCTTTTGACTTTACGACACGCATATGTCTATAAATCATCAAGAACATGAAATTCGTCTTTGCTAATGGGTGCACCTGGGTTCTTCTGATATTCAAACCTGCATCATAAATCCTACACAGGGAGGTGCTGTCAACCATTTCAGAAAGTGCATATCACTAAAAAATGCCTTATATGTCGATTTTCAACTTGTGTAGATTCTTCAACGCAGTGCTTCGTTCAATAAATGGAAGCCCAGGATGCAGTGTTCATGTGCGTGATATGAGCCGTTGCCGCCCATTTGATAATTCGTTTGATATTTAAAGTGAAAGGAGATTTCATAATTTTGAGCTGCACCTTTTTTGGTTGAGAAAGATTTGTGACACTATATGTCACTTCAGTTGACCCAAAACTCTGAGTCGATCTACACCCATTTCGAACTCGTCGTCTGAGCCAACCCCAGCATCGGACGTTGGCCATAGCCTGACAAATCCTGGACTTTGTTTGTGGGCAAGAGAGAAAGGGAATGAGCGAATATTGTGTCATACTTTCAAAATATCTACCAGGGCTGCTTGTTGAGCCCCAAACGCAGATTCCCTTTTTTCTGTAGGCATGCGCCATACCTAAAACCCTTTGATTCAATAGGATTGGCAGCTGGAAGGCGACCGGTCGCACCCGCGACGCAGTCTACGTCTCCCTTGCCAGCTTGCTTTCTGACCTCTCCGCCTTCCAGCCGCCAATCCCGTTGAATCAAAGGGTACGCTTGGTTCACTTCGTCCACTTCCTACTGGTCACTTCGATGTGACCAACAGCGAAGTGGATCAAGGGGTTAGTATGGCGCCGTCCCCGGGGCGCGCGGAATGGCCGCAGTTTTGGGCACTGAGCGCAACGCGGTTCCGACGCTTCCTTGTGCCCAAATGATGCGGCGCATTGAAGCGCCAAAGGTGACATCTGGTAGCGTTTTCCTTCCGGCTGAAGGTGAGCGGTGTTTGCAAGCGGAATTTTAGTGTTATGACATTCATACTTCAAAACAAGGATGTAAGCGATGATTCGGTGTTGTTGTTATGATGCAGAAAACTAGTCACGTGTAAGCAACTTCTGATAGTGAGCTATAAGCTTGTTGCAAGCTGGGGTGAAGCTTGACTATCTACAGAATCTCGTTTTGATTTCTTGTTTTTTTTTTTGTCAGTCAATGAACAGCTGATGTATTGATCGTGAAATTCAAGAGATTTGCTTCAGCTATGAATGACCGAGTGACTCCTGTACTCCTTCAACTTTGAAGTGTGAAATCAATCTAGAACACCTCAGCATCAGGTGTTCTAGATTGATCTGCATTGTCTGAGTGACCTCACATCTTATTACTAATCACGCGCAATTTTGATTGAGTTACAAATCGGCTCATATTGAGGATAGCAGTTTTTGGAAGCAAAATAAAAGAATTTTGTTATTCAAAGCAGATTCAAAAAATTATAAGTCAGTGTGATTTTCCTCTTCCTGAAATCTGAAAAAGTTTGTGTGATATGACCGCATAATTGTAAAACGAGGATATCTGATTGTGCGAAACATTACCAAATGTTATGAGTACACAAGTTATTAAAATTAGTTTGCTTAAAACAAAATTCGCCTATAATGCTTGATTTGATGATCTCGTCGCAATGAAATCTGTTTTTAGCTATGATTAGGGTTCAAAACTTACTTCCCCGATAGAAGAGGTACAGGGCTTTTCAACATAAGAGTCACAGCCTCCGCTTGCGCGGCTCCTCCAACGCGGCCGCCTCGCTCAGGCCGCGCTCGCCCGGGCTTTTGCCAAGCTTCAGTCGACGCGCAGCCAGCGCCACGAACGCTGCGCGGACCTAAGCGTGGCGGCCGAGCGGGGCGGCTGTGACACTCAGGTTGTAAAGCCCTGTAATCGTGTTGGCAATTATAACAATACTTTTCGATGAGCTAACTTTTTTTTGAACTAAACTTGGGAGTGCACTATAAAGAATATTCAATATAGTAAGAGATGTGAATAAAGAAAAACACTTTCCAAGCATAAAAGAGTTTCCTCATACTTACAATGAAAAATCAATTTGGACAAACCTACTAGGAACAAATAACTGAAAGACATTGAAAAGAGTGAACTAATTTATAATGAAAAAAAGATCTGAAAACTGATCAATTTTGTTGAGATTTTGAAATCTACTGTTATTCAAATTGCAACCAACTGAAGATGCATGAACGAAATATTAGAGTTTTGCAATGCCTGCAACGCATTCCGGCTGCACGTCAGGAGGTACGCCGCGCGCGGCGGCCGCTCTTCCGAGCGGCGTGGCAGGAGTTCCCAAAGCCTAGCCGCCTTTCCTCGCAGGGGTACTTGGCACCTCCAGAAATCCCTTGAAGGACATCACACCTTCTCGGGGCCAAAGGGCGGCTTCGCCCATCATTCTTCCCTCTAGGTGCCCTCATTCTAAATTGTGTACACACAAAGCAAGACATGCTTCATTGTATATGAGGACAATACGATCGAGAAACATAAAAAAATTTCTAGGTTTCGAAAGGTTCAGAGTCCATAAACGGCTGCAGCTGAATCTCGAGTTATGTTTCATTCATATATTTGGATAGATTAACGCTTCCTTAGAAACTTTTAAGTGCGCTTGAGTAAGTTCGTGAGACATATCGCATTAATATAAATTAAGCAAAAGTTATGAGTCTTCCAAGCACGGTATATAACAGAGAAGTTAGATTATTTTACAAAAGTTCTATTCAAAATCAACTAAAAATAGCGAATTACCATATCTTGCAACTTCAGTGTCGTGTTTGGAACTCTTAGTCAACTCTTCTATCACGCGACGAATTTTGGTATTCTAGTACATCGATTGTAGAAAATACTACACTTAAAACTTTCTTTATGGTAATTTGGGCCATACTGATCATTAGAGTTATCGGAATGAAAAACTCATTCGAACGTATGATGGCAGACGATAAATATGTATGTGTTCAGATATCCTATCAGTTGGGTAAAGCGTTAAATGCTTGTTCGAAAATTTTGATAAACTTCTTTCAAAATAGGTCTTTCTATGTTGAGAAAAAACTGGGTTCTCAAACTCCTAATGCTAAATTACTTTAATCAGATGACCAATAATGCACAATTGATCGACCAGATCCTCTAACATGTCGAATGACCAGATTTTCTATTCAAAAAATTCCTTGCTAGTTTTCATCTCTCAAAGTAATTCATATATTTTTTCCGATGGCATAGCAGAAGTTTCCAAGCCGCCTCATTTAAAAAAATGATAACTATGTTCCGTTTTTTTTTTCCATTTTTTCTCTTCCTGATTCTGTGTTCTCGCTGCTTGCACGCCTCACAATGAGATCAGTAAATGGGAAGAGCAGTAGGCGGGTCCTGACCCCTGAGACGCGGAGGTGCTAGAACCCTCCTGGGTGTGTGCTGGTGCGAAGTTAGTGCGAGAAAATGTGCTAGGAACTCCTGCCCGCCCTCCGCTCTTCCGCACACGCCGCGTTCAAATCTTGGGCCTTCAAGAATCTCCGCCAATAGAGATTCCCGGCGGCAAAAACAGGGAGGGGGGTGAGGATGGGGACAGATACATGATTTAAAAGCAGTGGCTCGGCAAATCTCAACCTAGTCAAATTTTTGCTTACCTGGGGTTATTCAATTCGCTGATCCCGAAAATCCTCTTTAGAGAGCTTGAAAACGGCGAAAACCTGCATTTTTCGATGCCCTTCCTTTTGACGTTGGACGAGTGGAGCAAGGCTGATGACGCTGAATCGTTGCAGGACTCAATGGTTATAGCATTGCGGCGGGCAGCCTCCAATGGTGGGAAGGAATTTGCCAACTCGACCGGGCGCGTATAAGATTGGCTTGCGCGTGTAAGTATGAGAGCAGTTTTCTCGGCAAGGGAGGCATGCTGTGCAACCGGGATTGCACTGCTTTCATACTTGGGCGATAACAAACCTACTGCGTCAAAATCCTGCGTTGTTAAGTTTTGCCGATCCACTGCCTTTAATGCCATGAGTAAGACCGCTCCAGGAGCGCTGCTGTTGTAAGGGGAATTACGTTGCGGCGTCGCTTCGCGAAAAAATTCGCGCCGATCATACCTCCTGACCGTTCCCCACGCATTCCTAGGCTAATTAACAAGGGGCAGCGCGATCAGCGCACCGCATACAGTACCCAGCTGGCGGCTGGCACATGCTATCGTTCATTAAGTCATATACCCTGTAGATCCATAGCTTATTCTAGCTTGAAAGAAAATGAGAACTTCGAGGCTTAAACTTCCCGCAAGCGCCAACGAGTACAGAATCTGAACGTCAGAAGAAACTATTTACAAAATAAAGCACCATTGAGAGTTGTTGTAGGATGCAGACTTATCACGCATGCTTCTGATTCATGATTCACAAACGCAAAAGTTTGAGTGAATTCTCTACAGCTGATCTGAAGGAAAAAGACAGTCATAAGTTGTCAGCAACGATAAAACATGATAAAACTCGAAAATGCAGTTTGAAAGCGCTATGGTTGGGAGGTGGTGCAGGAGGAACCAGAGCTCTTGACCCCTGTATCCAAGAGGGAAAAGGGAAGGCAGAGGAGGCTCCGCCCATCGCTCCGCCCACGGGATGCTCCCATTGTGTGTTGAACAAGAATGGTGGATGGACTACCAGATATTGATTAAATCTGATGGATTAAGAGGTTAAACTATGAATTGGAACTTGGTAAATGGACAGTAAAGATTCTCAAACATGTTTTCAGGTACCAGAATGATAATAAAAATAGTATCATGTCATAAACCTAATATATAAATAGAGTAACCATCTCAAGACTCAATGTATGGAACACCACTACCATTAAATTGTTTTTAAATTTTGTTCAGAATCGAAATGATGATACAAAGCCTAGAAAATAACCAGAAAAAAGATTGATTCAAAGTAGAGGGACTTGAACCGAAAATGAAGTTTCAGAGTGGTTCTAATAATAACTTTAACAAAGAGACTAAGAAATTCTGGATACTCAGATCCAAGAAGGACGTAAAATGCAAATAAGCATCTTATGCC